GAGAAGAAAGTTTTGAACTAATAGTGTTTAGACAAGATATCATGTCTGCATCTTGTACTCTGAATAACTACTACAAAGAAAACAATATGCAATTTATTATTGTAACTGTCCTATTAACCTGTTTTGAAACTGCATCACTCCTACTTCTTTCTCAGTATAATTAATATAAAAAAGTTTTTGTCATAACATATACATGATATATTATATAATTTCTGAAATTATCTAATTTTACGTGGTCATTGTATGTTTGGAAGAACCGTACTGCTACAACATATTGCAACTGTTTAGAAACTTCATTTTCAACCCTGTTCACTTTCAGAAGTCCTCCATCAGATCTGTGCTCTGACTTCACTGGCCCAGTTTTTGTGCTATATTGTCCAATCATGTTTTAGATATACTAGGGTACAAGTCTCTTTTCATCTACACTTGTTTACTGCATCTACAGAAACATAACCCTCATAAGTTATCATCTTTTTGCATTTTTGAGTTCTTTGACAATTATCAGTGCAGTATTTAGCACACCGTTGATCTTCCTTGGTGCATCAGAAGGTACTCAGTGATTAAATAAAATGCGAGTGAGCTTCATGTGAACATTATATATGACAATCAGAGCCATACAGTGATAGAGGTAACAAAATAATTTTTTAATTCATGGAATATTTTAATAGGAGAAAACAAATCTCATGTCAGCACGGGGCTTAATTTTAAATATAGTAAAGGGCAGTCATTTTTTATAGGCATGGAAGTTGATGTGTGTGTAAGGGGATCAAAGAATGAAAAGCTAATAACAGAAAACACTAAGTGTAGAGTGAACTTTTACTAAACTGATCTCACATTTCCTAAGGAACACAAACCAAAATAATTAGGTATCTTCAATGGGACTGTGATGAATAAGGAATTTGATCAGAGGTTGAGCTGACCATATGTTGCATATGGTAAAATCTCTGTAAACTGAATAACAAGATTCTCACTACAATTGGAAGTACAGGTACTTGTCCACAGTCAAAGGATAAAGGAAAAAAATTATCAGTTAGAGATTTGAATGCATTTAGGGCATGCAATATCCATAGATCTTTCCTGACCACACAAATCTTAAAAACTGACAGAGGCCTTATTTAAGCCCAGGATGAATGCCACAGGTCTTGCATCCACAGAGATTTCCAGGAGAGTTTTATAAGTTACACAGTACACAGAGCACTGTGAGGAGAACAAATTATAAAGTTGTGTGGGAAAGTTTCTACTTTCTCTGATGGAAGATGAAAGAAATCCCTTGGGTTCTTCTAAGAAGAAGCAAACCTCTGGAGTTGAAGAACCTTATGTGATGAACATAACAGACAATATTTGTGCACTGCTAGAGAAAAAAATCCATCCATTATCATTTCCAAGCCAGGAACCCTGATCACAGCACAATGTGACTCATAACTTGTGTCAAAGAACTCTAATGACATAGAATTTAGAACTAGCAACAACTTGGAACCCTGCCTCACTTCACAGCTCAGGAAACTGAAATTCAGAAGGCACAAAGACTTCTCAAATGTCACTAAACAAACAGTAATAAAAGTAAAATTCCACATATGTGGAACCAGGACTATCCTACTTAGTATGTTTCTTTCTCATTTGAGTGGAAGCCAAAACATTCTTCCAACAACATTAAGAAGATTGCCTTTTGAGAGAATAAAACTGAAACAGTGAACTTGGCTTTGGAACTTTACAAAAGGCACAAGGTAGGAAATTATTCTAGATGCTTTGGTACTTTTCTTCTCATAACGAGCACTACAGAAAAAGGAAATTCCTTAGGAAAAAATATATTCTGTTGCCCATTCATCATTTTTGTCTTAAACAGACTTGAATTTCTTTTGTCAACTAGTCTATATTCTGTATTAAACAGTACAAAAATAAATGTAAGGACAACTTCCGCACAAATGTGGGAAAAGATAAAGAATCCTCACCCTCTTTCACACGTAGGTTCTTAATATGCCAGAAGTAGATGCGATTTCTGACATTCAGACTATTGCTGCTGATCACCAAAGAAATATATATCAAATCAATTAAGTCCGATCTAGATAAGAAATAAAATGTCTGGGGCCGGGGAGATGGCTCAGTGGAATAAGTGCTTCCCCGGCAAGCACAAGGGTCTGAGTAAATTCTCAGTTCAAAAAAAAAAAAAAAAAAAGAAACAATATGTCTTAGAATTTTTATTTGTGATTCTTTGAAAGCAAAAAATCATTTTGAATTTAATAATAGATCTTTGAAAAGAAATTCCAGTTTCCTGGTTTTGTGAAAGGGAATAGGTACGATGTTTGAAACAAAACTATGGTTTTTAATGGTCAAGGTATTTTTCCCCATGGATTACCTCATACCTTTCTGTTTGAATTTGCATTCTATCTATTCTTTTTCTTTTTTGCCATAGTCAGTCTTTATAGTTCTAGGATCTATATGCTTGTCTTTACTATACATTTGCTTTAAGTAGTCAAGAGAGGGGAAGAGACTAGTGTGGGAGGTATTCTGTTGATGGGAGTTTTCATAGTGGTTTAGGAATAACAGAAAGAACGTATGAGAGCTAATATACTGGTATGTGAAAGATACCTTTGAAGCACTCCCACATGCTTCAGGAGAGAAATTTTAGGAATAAGAAGAAAAATAATCTTCAAGTAGAGTTGGAAACAAGGAAGAATCAACAAAAATTTGGGCACAAAAGATGATTATAATGAAAGATATTGTGATGAAGACATCATCCCCAATATGATATCCTTTGGCAAGAGAGTAAAATATGCTCTAGCCTTCTTAAAGTAAGAAGAATACACAGAGTGAACTGAGAGGGAATAACTCATATATAATTTAAAAAATACACTAGAGAAAGGAAGAAATTGTTGATAGGAGATAACAAAGATCAGAATATGTAACTTAGGAGAAAAGCAAAAGTGGGTATGTCTAGACATGTCCGTGAGGAGAAAATAATGAACTGATTGTCTAATGTAGAGTCCATAGCCTTGTGAGTTATATCTGGAATCAATTATAATTTAAACCAACTTCCTATGCCTCTACCAAATATTAGGTCCAAGCTGGATTAGTTCTTCAGAATGTTTAATTTTCAAAGAACTACATACAGGTACAAAGAAAAGTTTATTCAACTCCTTGTTCAAAAATAAGTACAATTTTTTATTGATTGAAGACTGTTTTCCATAAACGTGTTCATCCAATATTTATTGGGAAATTTTATCTTCTTAAAATATTTTATATTAGTAAATTCAAAAATATAGAAATGTATATTTTATCTCTTTCCATAATGTGAAAGAACTGATGTAGATTAAAAATATGAAATAAAGAAAAAAGTGTATGAAAGTAGATATAAACATGCCACTTCTTAGATACAATTGTCTCATCTGGTGAGAAGGTGGAATAGTCACAGGTGCCTTACACATTTCCCTTATAAGTTTTGTGCTTATTCTGTGAATACTGCAATCAATCAATATTTAAGGCAACTTGAAAATGTGTATACTGTCTAACTGACAGTAGATATGTTGACAGGTCTGTCAGAAAAAATAGTTCCATACAATTCAAATTTAATATGCTGTATATAAAGACAAGCACAGAGTTTTCAATGCCAAAAGGGGAAGAGATTAATTCAGAAGATGAATTGTTGAAGTATCCTTGCAATGACTAAGTAGCACTTATCTTTTTTATTGTGAGTTTTAGCATCAAGAAAATGAGGAAAATGTCTATCACTAAACTACATTATGCTGTGACAGATAGTGTGTTTTAAATACCATCCCAAATTATTATTATTATTATTATTATTATTATTATTATTATTATTATTACTTCTAAGCATCCTGGGATGCCCTGTCTTCTTTTCTCATGCTCAGAAATACAATAAGGGAGTGTTTATTTAATTTGATTTCTTTGTGCTTTTTTTGGAGTTTAATAGTTTCTCGCTACAAGTCAGACTCATAGTTATCTTTCTGTTTCAGTCTCCCTAAGGCTGAGATTACAGGGCTCAATCACCATGCCAGGTCCCATGCCAACATGGCGTTGGCACTATATGTGGTACCGGAGGTTGAACTCCAGAAATTGTGCTTGCCAGACAGACACTTAGGCTGCGGAGCTATCTCATTGGCCATTTTTGGAACTCGGTGTCATCATTAAGGGGGAATCATGAATGGCTTTCCTTTCTCCAGCATTTATAAACTCTACTCCAAGTTTGATCCTAATTACTAAAATGTCAAGTCTCAGCCTTTACTCAGTGCATATTAACAGGTGAGACATTACACGAGAGCTTCCATGTTGCTTTTGGCCTCCATTAAACACTGAATTCATTCTTTAGACTTCAAAATCATATCCAAATGTGGCTAAGCTAAGTACATTAATCTTGACAACTGAATATCAGTCACAGCATTTTTCTTCTAATGCCAGCCAACAATATGTTACAGAAAGCTTCTATTACATATTGTTTGAATAAATAGTTGCAAAATGAAGGTTAAAAATGCAAAATGAGGAAAGCAACTCATTGACAAACCCAAGGTTTCATAATTGACAATTGAAACTATCATGACTTCTCTATTTGCATCCTAATTTCATGTGCTCCTATCAAGCAATAAGAAACGTGAATGTTCATTTGCTTTTTCTTTTATGCTTCAGAGAAACAATGAAGGTCAACCAGACATTCATACAGGAATTCATTCTTCTCGGCTTTTCACTTTACCCACATGCACAGACATTCCTCTTTGCGATCATCTTTTGTCTCTACTTTCTCACCGTGGCCGGTAATCTGACCATCATGGGTTTAACTTGGGCAGACAGATCTCTCCACATACCCATGTACCTTTTCCTTAGTGCACTCTCCTTCTCCGAGACATGTTACACATTAACCATCATCCCCAAGATGCTGGCCGGTCTTCTGACCCAGAGCAGAAGCATTTCTGTCATAGGCTGCGGATTGCAGATGGGTTTCTTCCTGGGACTTGCTGGTACTAACTGCATCATCCTCACTTTAATGGGCTACGACCGCTTCCTGGCCATCTGCCAACCACTGAGGTACCCCTTTCTTATGTCCAATGTTGCCTGTGGAAGTTTTGTGGCCTCTGCCTGGGTTGCAGGCTTCCTTATCTCTCTAATAGAAACTGTGAAGATATTCAAGGGCTCTTTCTGCAGATCCAACCTGGTCAAACACTTCTTTTGTCACATGCGCGCAGTAGCCAAACTGTCCTGCACAGACAGTGAACACACAGAGTTCTTAGTCACAGTGATTTCAGTGGGAGGTTTGCTGAGCACATTGTTTCTTATAATCCTGACTTATGTGTTCATCCTTTCCACTGTCCTCAGAATCCCTTCCACTGAGGGTAAACAGAAGGCCTTTTCCACGTGTGCCTCCCATCTCACAGTGGTCATCATCCACTTTGGATTTGCCTCTATTGTTTTTTTGATGCCAGAAACCTCAGGGGGTGATGACACACTCATTGCCATCCCTTACACTGTTATTACACCTTTCCTCAGCCCCATTATATTCAGCCTTAGGAATAAGGACATGAAGAATGCTTTCAAAAAGATTTTAGGAAAAACACTTATCATAAAGCTGTAAAGAGGTATTACTTCCTTTGGAGTACACAGTGACTTAGCATCCCCTTAATGTACATAATACTTGATCCGTGATCTTTGGGGAAGCTTTTAACTATTTTTCCAATTATGGAATGGAGAAAAAAATGACTGCAGAGCCCACATAAACACAAGTATTTTTCTTTTTATCTTGGTAATGCCATTTTCCCACTCTTTTAGTCTCTATGGCCAAAGGAATAATGTCCCTGAGGATATGAGAATTTTGCCAATCAACTTCTGGGTGTGCAGCACCATATGTGAGTGAAAATGAAAAGATCATAAAAGGAAAAGAAGCACTGAGAAAGGTTTTATGAATATCAAAATACATAAATGTGGAAGACTTTTTCTGGAAAAATTGATGTGCTGGATCACACAATTCAGGAAAGGAATCATTCCATTAAGAGATATATGCCATCAGAAAACAAAACTGACTTATTCCATGTGTACAAATATACATAAAACATCACACTCATATTCTTAAATGTTCATGATATTTTTATTACTAAATACTTTTAGTAAAATCCTGCTCATGACTATGGCCTCTGGCAATTACTGAAACTACCTATTGAGCAGTTTTGCAATGCTGTATCTTGTGAGGAAAGAAGACATTGATGTAAGTCTATGATTTCATTTTAGCAAAAACACTTATTTTTCTATGATTTCAGCACATTGCATGTAAGAGAGGTCTGAGTGTTCTCTAAGTGAAGATATTTTAAAGCGGCTGTTGATGAGCTATATCATCATACTGAGGTATGGTATGAAGAACAGTAACATGACAATTTCTTTGATTCACATAATATAATAGAAAAAATCAATGAAGACAGCATTCATTATTTATATCACCATCAATAGCAGGACAAACCCTGGAGAATTGACTTTGTGCAATATGTGATCTTCCTGAAAATTCACACATAGGAGCTTAGACATCCTGAAACTTGTTGTGAATCTGCTTTTTTTTGTTTAGAATTTCATTTTATCTTCATTATTTTTCTAAAATTTTATTAATACATGTTTGCAGTATGTAATGATTATATTCACAATATCTCCTTCAAGTGATTATTACATCTGAATTATTTTGGTACCTCTTCCCCTATGTCTTTGGATCCCTGTCTATTTGCAAAAATCTACTTACCTATTTCCAATTGTCCAACTTTTATTTAGCTCTTACATTGTGTAATAAAAAAAAATTAAAGCTTGTTTTTCTGATTCATTTCACTTAACATTATAGTCTCAAAATGCTTAAATCATTCTACAATTCACTTTAATTTATCCATCTTTAGTGCAGAGCATTATTGTTTTCTGTATAAATACCTCACTTTTTTATCCATCTGCAGATAGATGTCTAGGCTGCTCTCAAGGTTCATCTGTTATGAGTTGTGCTGCTATAAACATGAATATGCATGTATCATTGTAATTTGTTTCTCTTCTCATTTCATTCTTAACTGACTCTGAATTCTATCAAAAACATAAATCTTGATTTAGGACCTAGTATAAACAAATTGTATATGAAACCTGTTGGAGTATATTTATCTCCATCATTTGGGTTGTATTGAGAAAAAAATAAAAGAATAATATGCAAATATTTGTGCATATCAAATGACTAAACCCAGGTCTTGCCCTGACTATTTTTCCTTCTGTGGGATAGTTTAGCCTACACAAGACTTCTACCATATTCAACCTCTATTCGCTGCTTTGATATTCAATGTGATTATTTTCCTTTAGCTCCAGTGGAACAATATGTTACTCAATTTACAGCAGATGACACTGGAAATAAATACTGATGGTTAATCTTTGTAGTAGCAGAAAAGTTATTTATGTTAAATCTAGATTTAACATTGGAAGGTTTTATGGTAATTAATGAAAATCAGACACAGACAAATATCACATTTCGTATTTCCTATGTGAACATTTATTTTTTTTATTTTTTTTTACCTTTCTTTTTCGTTTTATTTTTTTTCTACTGTTTTATTGATAAACATATAGCAATGAGACAGTTTCAAATCAAATCGGAAGTACAGTTTCAACAAATAATACACTGCATATATTCTTCTTAGTGGTTA